ATAGGTTTAATTTATTGTGCGATTAATTTATTTATCGTTTATCGGGACAGGCCTAGCTCCAAAGTCAAGTGGGATCTTTGGCAGCTGTCCTTACTTTCATTTCATTTCGGATCATTTTTAGTTTGATCAGCATAAAGCCTCGTGAAGGGGATCAGAAAACCACCAGTCACTCCATTTACACATTCATCCATCTTCCCCCTGCTTTAATTAAGCCTTTCCTCTCTGTAGTTAATAAATGTTTGTCATCGTGCAACATGTGTTGAGGGGAAGGACAGACATGCAGGTGTCTCGTTGGGAATTTCTAGCATCCTTACTCTACACTGCAGGAGTTAACGAGCTTCAGTAAATGTCTCACGGCTATCGAATGCAGCGCTGATTGTTGTTGTAATCGATGAGAGCTGCTGCCACCTCAGTTCGGTTTCAGAAAATCCTTAGAAATAACAGTCATACCAATCAGTCTCATTCAAGTTGATGAATGATGGCAAAATCTCACACTGGCTGATTGAGTCTTAATTATAACTTAGACAAGTGGTTTAAATGAGACTCTTTGCATGCGACTGTCCTCAAATTCTCATAAACCAACTTTATAAAATGATTATGATAATCTGTTTATGTGCTCAACATGATCTAATAAATTTTATTTTCCTAATAAATTGTTGTTGTTTTTTTAAGGATTTATCCGGATGTTCACATCCTGTCCTGTTCTGCAGCCCCAGAACCAGAACCAGAACCAAACGTGGAGGAGCAGCATTCAGCTTCACAAATCTGGAACGAACTTCTCCAGAACAACTGCAAATCAGCTGAAACACCGAGTTCCTTTAAATCGAGGCTAAAATCCCAGTTGCTTTTGACTCCTAATAACTGGAAAATGGATCAATATTTGTGTTGATGACTTTGATTATGTTTGTTACTGGTTTCACAATCAGTGACTTTATGATGCTTTGATGTTTCTATGATGTAAAGCACTTTGAACTGGCTTGTTGCTGAAATGCGCTATATAAATAAACTGTAATTTTGATTTCTTGACTTTTTTAATCCAATCCAAAATTTGACCATTTCTAGAACTTTGACTAGATTTTGTTCCAGTTCATGAAAAATTAGACCTTTTTTTTTTTAATCTTTTTTAACCAAACTGAGATCTAAATTTAGAAACTAGGCCAGCATTTAATCTCTACAGAAGGTAAAGGGTATCTTCTTATGCAAATGACCACTTACAGAGAATACTCAGGTGGGACATCCTTGAAGGCCGGCAGATCGCGGACGTACTCGTTGTGGAACCATTTGACTTTGAAGTGAAGGTTCATGTACTCTGTGCTTTTGCATAGGCGATGCTTGTCATGCTCTGCAATGCAAACACACAAAGAGGAGAGGAGAACATTTCACTATGGGTAGCAATAGACGAAGCTGGGACAAATTACAAAACACAACATTTTAGCCGTACGGACGTCGCATGTACTGTTCCTTCCACAGCGTCTTAAAAGATTCACAAGAACAGACAGAAACGCGCACGAACATCAGGCACGGAGCAGCGGCGGATGCTTTCATGCCAACATCCTCTCTGGCCCAGTTTTTTTTTTTTTCTTTAAATAAAGCCTTGAGCTATTAAAGCATGAGAAAATAAACACCGAGCTTGTAAATGTGCCCAACTTTGTCCTAACAAAGGACGGTCTTTTTAATCATCGCCAACAAACCGACGCTAAAGCGGAGCGCTATACAAATCAGCTGACATGTCTGCTGAGTCACTGCAGGAATTTCAAAGAGAGTTAAACATTTCTGAGGAATTCCCCCTGGAGAGAAAACGCATGGCGACGGTGCAGCTGAGGACAGAGGAAATCCAGGAGAAGAGAGAGAGAGAGAGCGGAGGAGAAAGGGAGAGGGAGATCAGACAAAAGAGGAAGAACCGAGGGAGAAAGCAAGCCATGCAGGAAAGGCACTTAGAAAAGAAAAAAAACACCGATATATATTGTACAAAGGCATGTTTTATGTTTTGCAGAATCACGCCACTCACGTTGACAGCATGTTGGAGTAGTTCTGTTACTTACATTTTGGTTTCTATTTTCTTTAATTCCTGTTTCTGGCAGAAAAAGTTCTATTTATTTTGATTTTGGATGCTGTGCAGCTTGAATGATTTTTTTTTCTTTACTTTTAATCATTTATTCCAAGTCAAATGACCAAAGCACATTTCAATGGATCTCAAGATTTTTTTTGGGGGGGGGAATTACTCTGTGAACTCTCGAGAAGATAAAAGTGCAGCTGTTTGAGTGAAGATGCAGCTAAAGTAACACTAACGCATTTTTTTTTTTTTTACTTTCAAATATAATTTTGGCAGCACACTGAAAAAAATGTTTCTTTGAAGCAAAAAATACTCTACTTTATTACTTTTGCTTAACTGCAATAATGATTTCACCATTATAGCTGGAGCAAAACCAATAAAATTAGCTGTAGCAATTTAGAATAAATTTTTAAAGCTGGTTCAAAGAAACATTTTTTTCAGTACTGGGCTCTTTCGGGTTTGCTTTGCATCTTTAAGACCTTGACGACTTGGAACCTCGAACTTTCCTTTCTCCTGCAAGTTATCCTCAACGAGAAAGTCCAACCGCGACTTCATGACGGTTGGGTTTCAGCACATTTGGGTTGGACTGCAAGACGATAATCCTGTGGCAGCCGGTTCACCTCTGACTGACTCAGAAACACAAAGCGAAGCTTTTGGATTGAGCGTTTTTAATTTTGATTCAGATGCTTTGAAAACCTTCCAAGCGCTGAGACCGATTTCACACAATTCTGCCAAGAAGAAGAAGAAGAAGAAGAAGAGTTCCTAGACAGATGCTTGATGGCATCTGTTGCCGCCAAGAGTGGCACAACCGATTATTAAAATGAGGGGAGAATTACTTGTTAAATTTAAGAACCAGATTGACTTGAAGATCTTTTTTTGTTGTTGTTTTCCCCTTTTGGTACATTTTTAATTAAGTTCCAAAATTCTGTTTTAGATTTTACTCGGCTTGTCTTTGTCTGATGTTAAAATTCGATGAGTTGAAACACAGAAGTTGGACAAAAAAGGGCAAAACAGAATAAATCTGCAATTTGTTCAAAGAACTTCAGATGGAGGGTAACTCAGAGCGTAGATACCGGTGTAATTCAGAATGGAAAGAAGAAAAAAAAAAAAAAGAGAGAGAGAGAGAGAGAAAGAGTTACTATCCTCGGATCAGCGGGAGACAGATGTTTGACGAGGAGGCGGGGGGGCTTTGAGACAAAACGTCAGCAGTTTGACTGGAAATATGGCATTTTAAAGAAACTAAATAAAAATTAAAGAGAAGGACTCACACCAGGAGGTACTTTGAATATGAATCACGGCTTAAGCCTAAAAGGAATTATCCATTTTATAAAGCGCGGGCACACAAAAGGCAGAGCCGTAATGTAAATGGTTTCGGCTCTTAAATAATACAAAATCCTGCTGGTTTGATATAGCACTGAATCCCATTGCTCTACGTTTTATTGTTAACAGGGACTTTGCAAGAGGTAAGACATTTTCTTCTGGTGCCGTTATCTGATGAAGCACCTCGGGTAAGCTGTATCGCCGCTTTTATTGAGAAGTTTCCATTTCTCCTCTTGGAAGACCTTGAAAAAGTAATCGCTCTGACTTCGTCAGATTTGGTCACGTTACAGCCGCAAAGACTTGGAGTGATTTTTTTTTTAATACTGGGATTTTATATCAGACAGAAGTGGAAGGTAAAGGGCACAAAGAAAAAAGAAAAAAGGTGAATTCTGAAAAAGTGTAAATATTGAACCCCTTTGTCCCGATGCCCCACACTAAACCCAGTCCAAGCAAATACTTTCAACAGAAACGAAACAGAGAGGTCAGGGAGGAAGTGGTGATGTTTAAAGCAGGGTTACGGTAGAAAATACAACAGTAGACTATGTGGTAGTTGTCAGAGGTCTCTGTACCTCGCTCTGCCTCCCGTTCAATCCTCTGCATTTTTATTTCCTGAAGGCTTCGTTTATCACCTGCCTTGATGGATGCAGCTACATCTTCATAATCCCCCTAATTGTGACCAAAAACAGGAAGAAATGATTGTATTTTATTTGTCCTTCACATGCTAAAAATGAATTTCTTTTATATATACATGAATAAAAACTTAACATTTTAGGAAAACCATATTCCAGTGCCCTTATTGCTCACCATGTTGGTTTTATTTAGAAGGACTCAACATACGTCATTGAAAGCTGATTACCTCACCATGAAGAAAGTTGCTTTATTATTGCTAGTTAGTGACGTTTGTGCCATTTTCTCTCGGCTGTATTTAATGCTTACTGGTCATTAAGACGCTTCTCATTCACTAATGTCAGTTTGGTAGAATAACTCACTTCATCACGCTGTGACAAACACTGACTGACAACATGCTAATGTTAAAACGTTAATGTTAAAACAGCAAGATAAATGTAAGTAACCATGGTAACCAGTGAGCGCTCAAAGCCCCGCAAGGCTATTTCTGCAGTCGAGTTGCGCGCGCATCCGCAGGGCTTACAAACAAATAATCCCTCTATGGAGACATCCATATGACAAAACATGGACCTATAACATAGCGGTACTTTAGTTCACTGCTATGTGGCACTAGAAGGTTTCCGGAACTGCAGCCACTAATAGAATATTAAGTCCAATACACTCAGAGGAACAGAACCTGTTTGACAACACAAAGTAAGGAAAAAGAATCTCAACACTTCATGGTCTGTTTCAAAGAAAATAGTAAGGAAAATTCACTGTAGCTACTTACCACTCAGAGTTAGGCCAACATTTTAAACTTGGCGCCATTAATCAGGCCTGCGTTGGGAAAACAGACAACTGGGGAGTATGTTTCTGTTTTAAATTACTGCAGAGGAAGGATCTCTGTATTGCAGAACAGAATGGAGGAGAATGCCTGACCAAGGCTTTCTTATAGCTGCTGAAGGACATTGCCTCTTCATGTCTGCAAACGGCAGTAACAGGTGATGATTTCCATAAAGCACTGATGAGGTGAAGAACAAATGTCCTAATCTCTGTGTTTACCTGAGGCGGGTCGACATTCCTCCAGCCTCTATCTGCAGGGCAACTCCCCTCCCCACCCCCTCGCTCTATGAGCATCATCTTATTTCACCGTGTTGCACAGGGTCTTCTTTCACATTTATGCACAGACAGCACTTTATTCAGAATGCAGACACCAATATTTTTTTTGGTAGAGTGTCTGCTGCAGTTTTGCCTGGATCAAAATGCTAAATACAAAAAGGTCAAATTAAAGGCCTTGGAAAACATTTATTAATTCCAACAGCGTAAAGTGTAATTTAGCGCGCCGCCATTACGACATCGCCTCTTTGATTAGCAGAAATAAAGGCAGCATTTTCACAAAGAACGAAGAGAGTTCATAAACCCCGGACATGCATCCACAACGACATCAAAGCCTCGTTTGAATCCGGAGCCTGGCACCTCGGCTGGCGCCCCTTAATCCCGATAAGTGCTTCGGTGCTTATAGTGATGAATAGCAGCCTGTCACCCGGAGCGCAAAAGGAAATATTTACACATGCATATTTATTAATGTACCTGTATCTCAATTCAGTCAAAAGGTGCAATGCAACACTTTTACCCACCAAAAATGAAGAAGACTATGAACCAACCATCGTATCGTTGCTGAGGTAACGGGCACAGAAGTAAAATACTGAAATCTCCCCTCAGGGGATGTTCTGGCCAAGGCCATGAAAGGATGTATACTTCCTACAGCCAGGTTTGAGCTCCTCCTCATGGAATATCCTGGAATATCTCCAAACGGATCTAGTCAAGGTGTAACCAGATCAGATACCAGAACCGCCTCAGGTTCCTTCTTCCAGCGGTTCTGTTTAGCAATCTTGGTTTTTTTCAGGGTCTTTTTAAAAGCACTGTACATATTTGTGTAGTCGTATACTTTCCTGATGACATTTTGCTCGTTAGCTGTAACATATTTTGAGTATTTGCACCAAACTGACTTCCAGATCAGGTTAATCGCATCAGTAAATTGGTTGACGTGTCTAACACCATGAACATCCTTACTTGATGCAAAGACTTACCCCCAAAACTGGAGGGATCAATACGCTTTTAATTTGGTTAAGAAATTTAGCCTCAGATTCGGTGAACCTGACTCTTCTCTCAACCAATACCTGTGGTTAAACACAGCGACCTCTGATCGGGGCCGTAACACGCCTTCGCTAGTCCCATAACATGAGTAACATTTGGCTGCCTGGAGAAGCACTTCTATTGAAGCCATTAGAAAAAAAAAACACAATACAAGTCAAGCAAATTTGAACAAAACCTAGAAGATTAGACACAATCTGCACATTGTA